TGAGAAAGTTTTTGAAAGAATGAGAAGAAAGTTGTGATTGTTTTTGATTCTCTCGATGGAGCAGCTTGTAAACTTCATTATTCGACCTCCAAGGTGAATAAAGCTCTTCACTTTCTCAGGAATTGAAAACTTGGAATTTGTTTTTTTTTTAAAGTTTATATTTCTGTTTACTAGGTTGTGGAATCAAGCATAGAAATTCAGATTTGGATTTTAAACCTTTTTTTTGTTCTTGGTAACAGAGTTGATTTTGGTGATTAGATTTGTATTTTTAGAAACCCATTTTTAGATGAAGCAAAACTAAAGGATTTTCACTTGAATTAGGTTGAAATCTCTCAAGAAAATCCTATTTCAAGTCCCTTAGAAGATGTTGATTTTGTTAATACATTTGTTAAATCTAACATTTGAATATTAATTGGTGTGATGCAGAGCTGAATACAATCCGGAACATGATCTATTGGAACCAGAGTTTATGCTGAAAGGGAGATGGTACCAGAGGAAAGATTTAGAGGTAAAAAAGCTTAAAAGGGGACTTTGCTAAATGGAAGTTTTACCTTCTTCTTCTTATTTTAATGTATATAGCTCAATCCACCGGTTAAATAGCTTATGCATGTTTTTTTTTTTATCGATTGTTCGCTGTTGGTCAGAGTGGTTTCCTTGCTTCAAAGCGAAGCGTCTTGGACTAGTTGTCACTTTGTTTGTACTTCAATCAGTTGCAATGCATTGGTTTAGTTGTCTTTTGTCGTCGCCTAAGGTTTATAGAGGATCTTGTATCTGACAGGTTAAAAACAGCAGGGGAGATGTTCTTCAGTGTAGTCATTACATGCCGGTCGAGCGTCCTGAAGAAAGGCCTCTACCTTGTGTAATATACTGCCATGGAAACAGGTAAATCAGAAATTTTAATTTACAGGAATGTGATTAGAGTTTTACTGGTGAAATAAACTACCATAATAAAGGATGCAATAGTTGTTAGTACACTAAGACAACCATGCTTTCAATTATGCATTAATTCCCTATGCTTATTCAGTGGATGTAGAGCTGATGCCAGTGAAGCTGCAATCGTATTACTTCCTTCAAACATCACAATTTTTACGCTTGACTTCTCGGGATCTGGTCTCTCTGGAGGGGAATATGTGACATTGGGTTGGAACGAAGTATGTGCTCCTCTGATCATTCTTAAAATAATTCATCTTCTTCTTCTCTTAGAATGCATGGCCTAAACGTATTGCTGCGTGGAGTAAACAAGTCGTCCAAACGTCGATATCTGCTTTCCGATTGATATTTGTTAGGCTATGGTCCTCCTGTGGTTTTTCTATATTTGATACTACTAAAACCAATATGCCTATGCTACTTGATTTGGTCTATAGATGTACATTATTGTTATCTTTGTGACGAAAGATTTCCATATGATTTAGAGGTTTTAATTCTCTAGTTCATGTTATACTGACAAATGGAAAGATCATGTAAGATTGTATGTGCCCTTGATTAGGTTCTCGATGTTTTTTTTCCTAACATCACATAGTCACTGGATTCACTAGTCATTGTCCTGAATTATGAGAGTAGTAATTTCTGTAACTACTGTTTAACGTGAAATGGGTCCTTGCAGAAAGATGATCTGAAAGCCGTGGTTGAGTATTTGCGCTCGGATGGAAATGTCTCCCTGATTGGCTTATGGGGTCGTTCAATGGGTGCTGTCACAAGGTTCCTTTAAATCTTTCCTTTGCTAAATTACTTACTAAGGCAGAGAAGGATAGTTGTTGAGATAAACAAATGAAATAGTCTATTTGCTTAGAAAACATGTCACTTTCCAGTGTCTATATGATTGCCAATACCTATAACATGTCACACCTCGATCATTCTGCCTGTCTGTTGGAATATGAAATCATTGTGTTGATACTACACTTATTTTCCAGCTTGATGTATGGAGCCGAGGATCCTTCTATCGCAGCGATGGTTCTAGACAGCCCCTTCTCTGATTTGGTCGATTTGATGATGGAACTTGTAGATACATATAAGTTCCGGTTACCAAAGTTTACTGTAAGTAAAAGTAATTCTGTACTGTGTGTTTCTTGTGGGATTTTGTTCTGCCTACTACAAGGTTTCCACATTGTCGTTACTATACACCTTTAAGCTATTTCAATTTTTTTGTTCAGATAAAATTTGCGATACAATATATGCGGAGAGCTGTTCAAAAGAAAGCAAAGTTTGACATAACGGATCTCAACACCATTAAGGTAGTTATGTCCTTTCTGTCAAGTTGATTAATTGGATGATTAACTAAATCTATTCACTAGCATGCAACATTATCATTGTTTTTTATGATCATTTGCGTATTTGCGCACATTGTAATGGGTTAATGTATTAAATTCAATTGTTAGTAGGGATTTTTCTGCGAGTTCTGTGTTTTTATGTTATGTGATATTTTGTTTCTCTCTTTTCAAAATTCATCGTTCTTGCTGCAGGTAGCGAAATCTTGTTTTGTTCCTGTTTTATTTGGACATGCCATGGACGATGACTTTATTCGCCCTCATCACTCAGAGCGTATATATGACGCATACATAGTAAGTTTTTCATGCTCTAGCTTCACAGAAGTTCTTGATAATCCCTTGACCATGTGGTCTTTTAAACCTCTGGCTTTTTTATTATCAGGGAGACAAAAATATCATCAAATTCGAGGGAGACCACAACTCACCACGGCCACAATTCTACTTCGATTCAATTAACATCTTTTTCCATAACGTTCTTCAACCTCCGGAGGTGGTCGGACCAACATTTTTCGACCCGGTGGATGATTACTTTGCCAAGGTAACGAGTCTTGCAGCGATGCATGTTTAGTACTTTTGGGGTGTTTCTTGTCTCTTTTATCGAGAAAGGTCAATGATGTTAACTGTTTTATGTTCAGGGCAGTTGGAGCACCATGCAAGAACTAAGTTCTCCACAATCCCCAGCGCAGAAAAGTAATTCGTCCGAGTTTTTCGCTATGTTTATTCCATGTTTTATTGTATCCTTAGCCAACATCTTTCTCATTGATTTCAGGTTTAGCTGCGGGAAGCACCTCCGACGCAATAAATGAAGTCCGCATGAAAAGACCTATGAGTCGCACAGAGGTAAGTAGTTCATGACTACGTTCTACAAGTGTTAATGTTAGTTTCCAGAAAAGTTTGGTCCCTACAAGGAATAATCGGTTTCCTCCCTAATGTTTGTATTTTTCAGTTTCGAAGTACGTTTAGCCCCAAAATTAGAAAATTACATCTGATAGTTACAAAACTGGAATCATAAAACCATGTAACTGTTCTTGCATAGCTACCAGACAAAGAGTTTTGCTTCACTTAGTTCTTTAAAGAAATTAAGTAGCCACAAGTGTATGTGATATAATTTAATGTTTTCTCCATTTCCCTGTTGATGGTCTTCTATTACTTCTCTCAGGTTCCTTCTAACGACCCATCTAATCAATCATCATCAGAAACCAAGGTATATAAGATTAGTTTCTCTTGCGGTATGGTTAAGGTCATCGGCCATTGACTACTCAATGTGATTTATGTTCGTGGTGTTTTTTCGATCAACAATAGTAGAGACACTAGTGCTAGGTGACCAGTTTATGTACAAATGAAATATTGTCCGTGTAAGAGAATAAAAGAAACAGAAATTGAAGAAGACTCCTGATGTTGAATATATGATTTGTTTCAGGAAAAAGAGAATCATGATAGCTACAGTAGTTCATCTTCTGATATGATCAGCTTTGATTTGTCGAATGGGGATCCGTATCCTCCTCATCTTGCGGTAGCTTTAGATGATGATCAATATGTGGAGTTCCACGTAGAGGAGTTAGCAGATTTTCCATCTAATGCAGAGGAAGAAGAGAGGGTGAGAATTCAAATAGAGGATTTACACGTTTGAACCCTCCTTATAACTATGCTATATATTCGTTTTATTCACATATCTTATAATGGCCTCAGATGCTTATGGAAGCGGTGATGAAATCGTTGAAGGACGTGGAGGTTGAAACTCATCAGAACAAAGAACCTTCCATGACTAATACAGAGAACACTGAAGAAAAAGAAGGTAATGCTGCTGCTTCTACTACAGAACCAGAATCGGCGCCTTCTGAGACAAATTCTAATTCCGGTCCAACACCAAGTTACTATGATGCACCATCATCTTCTCAAGCCAATGCTCCATGTAAAACATCGGATTCTCTGCCAGGACCCGTAAATGGTTTTGTTCCTGGTTCTTTGCCCCGAAATCAGAACACAAACCACGACATTGATTTGTCAGCACGTACAAAGGCAACAGTGACTGTGGTTGAACGTAGTAGCACGTCAGGAAACGTTTTAGACGGGTTATTACGCCGATGGGATCTTAATTTCTTCAAAAGTAGATAAGTCCATTAAGTTTATGTGTTTCGGTTTGTGCAAATAGAAAGGAAAAAGCTTAATATGTTTTAAAGGTTTGTCATGTCAAGTTTATATGATTTTTCAAATATGCTTTGTCTTTGCAAGAAAATCTGAGTCAAGAGAACAAATCTTCTCTTGTTGGCTTTGATGAATCTGTTATTGTTCCTTCCATTTCTTTGATCAAAAAGTCTTGAATCCTCTATTTATGAACATGTAATGAGAACTTCTTAACATATATTTTCACCAGTAGTCCTATTTTTATGAACATATAATGCAATCATCTTACATGTATTATTAATAAAGCAAATACTGAATAGTATTAGAAGAAGAAATCGCCAAGCTCCTCGGCTCCTATGCCAAAACTCAGTTTGTTTTTGCTTTGCTACGCTTTCCAATCCGCCGTCTATCATGTATGGCGTGAACGGAACAGTCGAAGACATGGTGGAACCGCTTCGACAACAAACTCCTTAGTCAAACAGATTGACAAGAACATTAGGAACCGAATGAATGCAATTCGTAGCAAGGGAGATCACACCTACTCGGAGGCCATGGAGATATGGCTCTCTACTCGCTAAAGAAGCATACGATGAAGATATGCTATCTGTTTATTCAAAAGCTTAAGCTCTCTATTTTGGTCACTTTTGTCCCTAGAAACATTTAGAAGAAATAAGCATTCATCGTACAAAAGGTTTATGATTTGAATAACAATTTTACATTCAATTC